GAATCACACACACACAGAGAATCAGACAATGCCCACCGGGAATTAGAATCAGACTTAAGAGCCCAATATCCCCAACTGTTTGATTAAGTGAGACTGATAAATTTGATGGACCAAATTTTTTTTAAAGGGGGAGAGTTATAATACATGGACCCAAAAATTAGGCTCGTGATAAATTTTGTTAATTTAGATATGTATAAAATATATATATTTTATAAATTAATTTAATAAAATCTTTGTTATATTTAGAAAAAAATAAATTAGAGATGAGATTGAAAATAATTTTGAAAAAAATAAATGAAAATTTGGGTTCGAGTGGTGTTTTTGAAAGAAAAATCAGAAACTGGAAGTCAGAATACAAATAAGGAAAATTTAACCCCGTAGGACCGTCCAGTCAGCAGCCTCAATGAATCAGAGCCCGCCGCGTGGCAAGACATGCTGACTTGGTGCCACGCGGGAGGCCATGCTGACAACCTGCGCGCCTCGCGATCAAACGAACTAGAAGTAATCACGCGTGCATGGACAGTCTTGATCCATTTATCCCTTAGGTGCAACCAAACAGTGGAGATCAAACACGATGAACGATCTAGATTCATTTTCTCTTTAGGCGTGATTGAACGGTTGAGATCAAACGCGATGAACAGTCCAAATTAATGTGAGATAGGTATAAATATTTTGCATCACACTAAACCCGAACCCTAACCACCAGGGTCCCGCCGAAAAAGAAGGACTAGTCGCCGGAAGAGAGCCAACCCCCAACTGCTGGCATATCGGAGCCACCTCTAATTGCCAAAAAAGGTAAAAATTCTCCTACCCACTCAGAATTCGATTCCGAGCTCCCCTGTTGCCATATCGGAGCAAAACGAATAGCAGATGAGATAGAAACTACAGGCGAAGCCGCCGCAGGCAAAACACGCAACCTCTTCCGATGAGCCCCTTTTTTCATTTCGTGCAATTTTTTCAACGTTATGTTTTTTACAGGTTGACTGAAGAAAAAAATTCCAGTTGTGAAGGTGAGCCAGCGAAGCTATCGCACCCGAAAAACTCCACCACCGGTAGGTTTTCGTTTTCTGATTTTTTAAGGCCAACCGAGACCCCCTAACGTGTTTTCTCGCAGGGATATGTATAAAGGCAACTGAAACCTGCCAAAATCGGCGAGGCCGAGGCAAACCACGGTCGCGGGTTGTCGCAGAAGCACAGCGGTGCTGCCATGCTGGAGTCCCAAAATTAGCCGGAAAGGATTTTTAACACCAATTTTGGATTTTTGAGATATTTTTAGGTACGTGAAGCATGTTTTAATCTTCGCATGAAAATTCAGGAATTTCAGGGACCGCCAGTAGGCATAGTAGAAAGTTTGGTATTTCGAACACTGATTCGGATAAGAATCCACCACCCTATTCTATATTATGGAATTGAAGTTTAATAATCAATAGTATAGTATTTTGTGAAATGTAAAAAAAAAATTAAGAATAATTACAGGTCACTAATGGAGTCAGAACTGGCTAGTTATTTATTTGTCTTGTTTAACTGATTATTTGAATTTACAGCTTTAAATACATGATAATATATTGAAATGGATAAATGATTCAGTTGTGCTTACTTGATGCATATATCACTTGTCTTGCGTGATTTAGGGTTGATTTGTGAAATTTGAAATTAATATGCAAATGAAAAATTGTTTGGTTATATGAATTAATGAATGGTTGTCTTACTGGATATTCTTAGAGATGGTGGACGGACTGGGTACATTTGGAACCCTACCATGAACGCTACCTCATACCAAACAGGATATCAATGGATGATATTTTTTATGCTCATACCGGATGGGGTATGAGGACGGCCTAATTCACCCTCATACCAGACGGGGTATCGATGGATAGTATTTTTGGCACTCATACTGAACGGGGTATGGGAGTGGTCGGTTAGTTGATAAGTTTAGATATTAGGTTCATGCGTAGTAGGACACCTCTATGGACCCCCAGGGATACCAATAAACAAAATAAAAGAAAAAATTATTGTTCTTACTAACTTGAATATGAGATCATAATGTTATTTGAGTTATTGTCTCTATTGGTCAGTTTTGAAAATCTCACAACGGTAAGTATGTAATAAATGATTTTTCTTATTATAAATGAATTTACTTAAATTAAGAGCTCCATTGGTTGTTTTTATTATTTTTACTAACATTCGATTTCTGTATCAGTGAGTAGTATGATATTCTTATTGGGATAGTGTAGCTCACCCCCTTCCCTATTAACCATTTCAGATCAAGAAGATTAAGATACAGATCCTAATCAGCAAGACGGCTGTGAGTAGGTGTCCCCCCAAATCCTATCAAGAGCTAGTGGAGGTTAACCTCCCTACAATATTTATTTACTATTTTCATATGTTATTACGTTTTTTGTTTTATATACCGCTGTGAAATGGACATTTCTATAGCCTATTGGGCATGCTAATTTATGTGTAAGGAATGTAAACCCTAATATTATTATACATTTTCATATTTAATTTATGACTTTGTTTCTATTTAAGTTCCGGGTCTCTACAATAATAAAATTGTTGAGATTTTCTTTAATATATTACGTGAGGAAACTATGAGAGTTAAATTTTACTTCTCTTTATGAAGATATGATTTTAATTTTTTTTAAGAATATAATGATATTTATTCATTACTCCTAAAAAATACCCAGGTAAAGAAACAAAAATGCTAGTCAAGGCGACAACACATAACAATAGTGCTAGATTTCAAATAACCAAATTGTTTCCTTAAACAAAGCATAATCCAATTTCTAGTGATCCAATTATTAATGTATGAACTAAAATTATGTTTAAATAGTAAAAATTTATCTAAGAGAAGTTTAAATGTTGGAGATACAATATTAACTAAATGTTGGTAGCTTATTTAAAACCTTCTAATATCACATTGGATATACCTCATACAACAGCGAGATCCATACCCATGATTGTAGTGCTTCTGATATTGAACCTAATATAGGAATTCTTCTCATACTAAATCCAATTATTCTACCTTTATGACCTCTACATACTATAACAATGTATGTCCAACCTTTATTACTAATTAAAGCATCACAATTAATTTTAACCATACCTAATGGATGCATATACCATTTTTTGGAAGTTGTGTTACAGGCGATATACAGTTATTATTTGGTCATTTGATTGTTTTTATTTATAAGATTTTTTCATTTTCTAAAGCCATTTTTGGAGCATATGTATTAAAGAGAGTGGCTCAGTGCACATAAACTTATGTATCCATTTATTCTTGATCCATTATATACCTTAGAAGATTAAAATGAACCACGTCCTTGGTGGAAGATGCGTCTTATTCAAAGCTTGTACAAGCCGTTGTATAAAAGTATATAATAGCATAACGTCATATCTTAAGAGTCTCATTTTTCACATAATTTGCATATATGGGCAGTCTATAAATATATAATTTACATATTCTTCTAACTCCCTTGCTCATATGGCATCTAACATATATATATCTAAACCTTTATAAGTGAACCTTCAATGCACTAGAAATATATCCAAGTCTAATATTTAAATAAAGTGTTTTGTTATAGGAAGAAGAAGACTCGTCTATACCTTTTCCCAAGGATCAACATGGAACATAAATGTTGAACCAGCTTATTCTACAAGAATGCTCTTGTAGTATCCTACAAGTTCATTTGGTAAAGATGATATGATTAAAACATATAAAGTCATGCAAGTCCATCTCCCCAAAGAACTTATTAGAGCCAAACTTTGACCACTTCAGCAAATGTATCATGACTTCTCTGTTTCCTTATCCCTACCAAAATCTACAGACTATAGATTCCATTTGCTTGCATACTAAATGCAATAGAAGAAAAATACTTATTATATATGTAGATGTCAATCGGGTCACTTGCTTTTAACATGAATTTCTTAGCAATCTTGGAGAGTTGTTTTATATCTAGTTTTAAACTTGAATAATAAGTCTTTTAATTAGAAAAGATAAGATATCTTTTAAAATGTATGTTTTATATTTTTTTATTAAAAATTTAAATTAATATTTATATACATGAAATTAAATTTATAAAAATTAAAATTAAAATATGTAATGCAAGAAAACTGAATAGACCATCATAAAAATATATATATATATATATATATATCAGCATATCATATTCCGACCGACCAAATTAAAGAAGAGCTTGTGGATACACTATAAGTACCCATAACGAGATTTTAATGGGTAAACTTTATGTTAGGGAAATCGTAATAATTGAAATATTATTTTCATAAATGAATGCATGGTACCAGGTACATGTACAGTGGTGTCGTAAATGTTACTCTAATTAGTTAATAAAGAGAGGTTTTCTTTAAAAGAAAATAAACAAATGCATCTACTTATAATTATATCCTAATTTTATACATATCTATAATTTTTTAATATATATATATATATATATATTTTTAGGTTATATGCATGTTGCAGTTTTAAGAAATTTTAATTTAAAATATCCACCTCATTTCTAATTTAATGAACATATTAAATTCAGAGTCTAATTATTGCATCAACATGCGTAGAAAGTGGGTGAAATTACTTTCACGAGACATACACATAATAAGTAAATAAACATATTTTTAGGTAATTTCGAAAATGTTCACTCCATTTAAACATAATTATACAAATATATATATATATATATATATATATAAAACTTTTATTAATAAGTAAAATAATACTTTAATAATATAATAAAATAAAACATATATTTTTGTAAATTAATGAACTTTAAAATAAATAAATAAATAAGAAAAATTCTCACAAGTACGGAAAATGAAGAGTCATGGATTAATCTTGTTAAAAAGGAAAAGAGTCAGCAACAAGAAGGAAGCCAGCTTAACGGACACGGCATCTGTAATCCAACTAGGCTGTATCCATCTTGTTCTTCCGTTACCTCTCGTCGTTATCCTTCTCCTTATATTAGATACAAACGGGAATGATTTCGTTTGCCTCCCAGGAAAATATTTTACCCAGAGGAGAAGGAAAATACATTTGCCCTTTCTAAGACACCTTCATTTATCACGATCTTTGTCAAACAATCCTGGCCTTTCCGGCGATATCTCTAACACTTGAAGTATGGAATGGTCTGCAACATCTGCTACAAATGCCTATCTTGATACCCTTCATCTGGTAATTATGCTTTTCTTTTCTTCTTCGTTAATTTTCTCACTTTCAGATCTCATATCTACATCGTTTTCTTGCCTCCATTGTTTGCATTTATGCAACAGAATTTATTGCTTCATAATTCCCTCTTCCATTATGGGTTTCTATATGTATGTCGATATTTGATTTGTAAATGTAAAAACCCAGAATTAAGAACATCAAATAGTGATGAGATATTTAGGTCCAAATTACAAACCCATAGAATTTGATATGTTATATCCTGCATTCTTGTTGAAACCCATGAGTGGAAAGGAAATTAACAGGAGATGATTTAACTATGAATTTGTTTAACAGTGTGGTGATCAGAAGAGAGCATGTGAATCAAGCACAAGACCGGAGCCTGGAAGCACAGAATTCATATCAGCCCTAGCAGCAGGCACAAGATCTAAGCTGATAGTGGAGGTGACACCCTCTGCGTCCCAATCAACTATAGGCTTGGCAGCTGCTGCAAGACAAACAGGCGGCAAGCTTGTGTGTATTCTCCCGGAACCAGTCCTTGGAGAATCTGAGAAGGTCATCCAAGATTCAGGGCTTAAAGACATGGTGGAATTCAAAACTGGAGACCCCTCGGAGATTTTATTAAGCTACGAAAACATCGATTTCTCTCTCGTTGACTGTAAGAATGATGACTACACGAGATTCCTCAAGTTGCTAGACGTCAATCCTAATAGCTCAGTGGTGGTGGCAAACAACCTGGTGGGTGCACAAGAAGGGTTGGGAGGCCATATAAAAGGAATGAAGGAGGTGAGGTCTATGAAAAATCCAATTGGTAAAGGCATGGAGATTACGATGATTGGTAAAACTGATGGATTAATGGGGAAGAGGTACCGCGGACGAGGTTCACATGGAGCAGAAAGAAACGAGGCTCACAGGCTTGCCAGTAAGAGGAGCCGTTCCAGTAGATGGGTTTTTAAAGTTGATGAAGAAAGTGGGGAGGAACATATTTTCAGGGTGCTTAAAACTCCATTGACAGATAGAGTGCCTAAATCTCTTTAGGTTCTTCACCTTTTTGTACAGCACAGTAGCAACATTGTCCTCCTAAGAATGACACCATCTATTGAAGTAAAACCCAAAAAAGAAAAAAACATTGAACTGTGCTCTTTTTTGGTGTTGATTAATTTCAATATAGCTATTGACTACTGAGGATCTTTGATTGTTCTTATGGAAAAATGAGTCATTTCAACCTCTGGCAGTCAAGAAGGAGAAGTTTATAGCTTCTTCCGGCGATTGTAAATGCCAATCTGCATGGTTGTTGGACGAATCTAGACATGGGGGTTCATAAATTTTGATGTGTGGAGACATCTTGGACAGAGGAGGAACTAGATAGAAAAGCTTGCTTCATTTGCATGATTAAGCTTTCTGGAAAGAATGTTTTTGCTTCCGGATTTCCTAGGAAGTTCCTATCTAGTATATGCATATATTTTTGTTTTCACTATATACTGAATTATAAGAAAATTCAAATTTTCTTGTAAATAATGTAAAGAGAAATGCTACTGTGGGAACAATTAATCCAAATCTTGCTTTTTCCAGCGATTTTTTTGCCACGAGAATTCCTTGATTACACCTTTTTTTTTTTTTTTTTCTAACCCATACATATGGTGTAATTTTATGATAATTTAAGTTTTGTAACATCTTTTTCTACTCTCATAGTTTATTATTATTACTTTCTAAGAATGTTCTTTTGCCTTTTTAGGTGATATTTTCATTTGATTGTGACTGCAGTCCGTGAACTTTTTTTTAAATAATAATTCTAAAAAATTGATGAACACAATAAATTTTTTTTGAAATAATGATGATCATATAAACTAGTTAAAATTCCAAAAACAGCACAATGTTTAAATTGTGATAAGACTAAACTACAAGAGTAAAACTGGAATTCAATTTTTCAATAGGAAAAGAATATTAAGAACTTTTAACGTTAATTTATACATTTTAATAGTAAATGCAAATCAATAGTTTCATTAAAATATATACATGTAATACAATATTATAATAAAAACATACAGAATGCACAATCTACAATTCAAACTTACACTCTTATAAAAATATATATATATATATATATATATCTACCATGCAACCAAAAAATGAGTGCTATAACGAGATTATTAAAAAGAAAACAGCACCTACTTTGCTGAAATGATCTTCAATTTTATTTGTTATGAAATAAGACTTGATTATGAAGCCATACTAAAAAACGCATTTGATCCTTGGCCTCATTGCATCAAGACCTATGGTCAAAGAGTTGTCAAAGTAATGATGCTGCAACGTTTATGCAAATGCCTGGTAATGTTTGTTATTCATCATCGGCAGACTCTCTCTCCATCATTGTTCTCTTGTAGATTGTTGAAGGTGCCGATAAAAGTATTTATGTCTTCTGGTTTGATCTATCTACGCCCACTTAATTTTTTTGAGATAATATCATCTGTAATACCCTGCAAACTGTTCTCATTGTTCCTTGCACATCTTTTCTTATTTAACTACATAAATAAGTTTCTTATCTACTTTTTAACTTTTAGATAATTTGATCATGCATTCAACTCAGTTTCTTATCTAAAATGGTGATATAGAATAATGCAATGTGCTATATCGAGAAGCAGAATAAGTAATTAGGATAGTTCATTATTTACTGAATCAAAACAATAATAATAAATAAATGAACATCAAAATTTTCCAGTGCTTTATTTAGATAACATCTAGAGGAAAGGAGTCAGAGGTTCAAATGGGTGACTAGAGGCTGTTGTAATCAAAGTTTTGGGTGCGAATCAAAATGGTGAGTTGTTAATTATTAGTTGCTTAGTTTTAAAGGATAAATATAACCTGAAAGATTTGTTTAATTTGACCTGTCTCCAACTAGTCACAATGTAAACCAATGAAAAAAAAAAAAAAAAAAACACATACTGGATTTTCTAAATATTGACATTATATGGGAATCAATACGTCTTTAATCGTATGGAGATTTTGATATAATAGCTGGGATAAAGGAGGAGAGAGAAAGACATGGTGATGTTGGGTGATGAGATATCGAGAATCCGCGGGAAGAATCATGAGGATTACCCGCCATCACCAACCACCATCACCAAGAACCATAATGCAATCTTCAGGTTGAAGAAACAAATACATCTTAACCAACCACAGTGCTTTCACTTCAATCTTCTAAGCCAACCTTCCTAAATCTGGCAATGACCAGAACCATAGTTGATAATGGCGTACCCAAAATTTCTTGCCTGGTTATGGATTCTCGTGATCAGTCTATTTTCAGAACATAGCAAATTTGGGGTGGCGGATTCTCCTCCTCCTGATGTGGGTAACTCTAGTACTGCGTCCTTGACAGATTCTCAACCTATAACTAATGATAATTTTCATAATGGGAGAGGCTACACTGGAAATGGTTATGTTAGCAGTGCGGGTGATTCCGGCGGAGGAAGATACGAGCTTTGCGGCACAGATATTAGCACGTTCCTTCCTCCGCCTTACGGGAATATCTCAGGCCTCTCCTGTACGCCTCTTTGGAATACTTTCGTATTGAGGGTGAGTTTCATTCGGCTAACTCTGTCAATTTTCTTTAATGTTGTATCTCAGCTCATCAATCATCTGGTGATTTGCAGTACTTGCAAAGGGAAGATAAACTAATGACCATAATCTTGTCGGCGGTGTACGTGACAGGGTGGGTTGGAATTGGGTTTTCTCGGGATGGAAGGATGGTTGGATCTAGTGCCATGGTGGGATGGTTGACGAAGAGAGGTCACGTGAGGATCAAGCAGTATTATTTGCAGGGTACCGATCCATCGCAGGTGGTGCCGGATCAGGGTGAACTCGAATTGCAGAAAGTCCCACCCGTGGTTGTACTGCATGGAGCCATGATTTACATGGCGTTTCAAGTCAGATTTCAAACTCGCCTTGCCAGACAACCAATTTTACTGGCTTTTAGCAGTACTTACCCGAGAAGAACCGGCTATCTTTCTCGGCATGATGATAAAACTACCATTTTAATCGATTTCTCCAGAGGTTTCTTTTTCAAAAATTTTCCAGGATCACTCGTATTATATATCTGGCTAGTTTGTTTGCAGATTCTTTTATCTTTTCACAAGGCAAGAACAGAAACTGACTTCTTTTTTCTTCTGTGGGCAGCTTCTTTTTCTATTGTAGACACGGTTTCTAGCCGTAGGAGGAATCATGGGATATTGGGTATATTCGCATGGGGTCTAATCCTTCCACTGGGGGCGATTTTTTCGAGATACATGAGACATAAAGATCCTTTGTGGTATTATCTTCATGCAATTACTCAATTTCTTGGGTTCATCATTGGCTTTGTTACTGTACTACTTGGAGTTCGACTGTATGATAAAATGAAGGCCAACGCCCCAGCACATAGAGGAATAGGGATCTTTGTTCTTGTGGCTAGTAACCTTCAGGTTTTCTTTACTCTATCCTATTTTGAATTCAACATTTCTCTCTGTATTTATATTCTAAATGCATCCCATATTTGGATTTCAGGTACTGGCTCTCGTTCTACGGCCGAGCAATTTATCCAAGATTCGTAAATACTGGAACTTATATCACCATTGGTTAGGGAGGACTGCCCTCTTCTTTGGATCTTTAAACATAGTTCTGGGAATCATATTATCAAATTCAGGAAGCAGCTGGAAAATTGGCTATGGTTTTCTTCTGACTGTAATTTTAGTTGTGGTTATCGTTCTAGAAATCTTGTTAAGAACGAGAAGGTCAGAAAAAACAGTGTCTTCCCCTCCAACCTTCCAAATGAATCCAGTTGAGTAGTGTGATATATTGCCCTACTCCTAAACGTTTGTTTCTTGTACATATGAGTGTTTTCTTTGAATCTACACAACTAGCTGAGATTTTCAAGGCTATTCCACAGGAACATGAAGAGTTTTCAGGGTCTTGGTCCTTAGCGTCCAAGAGTCATGATGAGCTCCTTGGGAGCTTTTATTAAGAAGGAACTATTTGAATGCAAAACTACGCTTGGTACCCCCCCTAGCTAGACGCTCTTGGTCAGCTTTCCTTGGCACAAGAACCAAGATTCAACCTGTCACTCAGATATGGAGTTGCTTCCTGAGATTGTTTTTCTTTGACCTGGCAAGAAATCTTGATTTTCCTCGTGATTAATTTTCTCCAAGAAAATCATCAAACATTTTGTATTGTCAAATTTATAGTTTGCAATCTTTTTACACCTCATAATTCTTTTCTTTTTTTTTAAGAAGAATGTATGACGGATGCTAAATAAACGTCTGTGTTTTTCTATTTATAGCAGTAATTTTTGCCTAGAGAGAAGAGGAATAGAAGAACCCGGGATCAAGAACTCAAGGCGAGGAGATTCAAACATTTATTTAATAAGCTGCAACCAAAATAATAAAAATAACATATAACATATAAAAATAAATTAATAAACAATTAAATAAATAAATATTATCCTTTAATCAATTACTAACATCTTAAACTCTAAAATTTATTTTTCTACACAAAGTTTTGGAAGAAACTTTTGATGAACATAAAGGAAGAGGAAGATCTTGAGAAATAGGAAATGAAAAATCAATGTTAATGTGTTAACTAATTTCTTCTATTAATAGATAACATGTAAGAAATAATTCTTTTTAACATAATTTTCATAGAATTTTTTTTTAATTTTCTACAATCAGTAAATGAATTGTATATTATAAAAAAGTTCTCAATTGGAAGCTTTTCATTTATGCTAAAATTCGTTGCCAACTTAATTGTATTGTGAGAAAAAATTGAATTTAAAGACAACATGTTACAAGTCTCTCACATGATTTTCGACCCATTTTGGCTGCATTCTGGTCTATTTTGTGTGATTCATGGACGAATTTATTAGTCCTTCAAACAAGCTCTTTAATGATACTAAAAATCGTATTCGAGTGAGAGATATCACGATATGAAGTTAGGGACTCAATCGTATTAATATAAAAAAAATTTGGGTCAGAAAAATGTAATTCACTATATCGATCTTCCTAAATTTTAAAACCGAAATTTTTATATATTTCAAAAGATTATATTATATTTTTATTTTTATAATTTTCTTTGAATTAATATATTTTAAAAAAAAAAAAATTGGAAATTTTATGATTTTATCGTGTTAAAAATTGTGTCTGGATTTTAAGGTTTTAAAACAATAAAAAAATTACAGAAAATATTTTTTTTTAATGGTCTTAGTGTGTTTCAAAGGGAGGTTGTATATGTTTTGTGATGAAACTTCATTTTCTTGTTTATTTAAATTAAACTTCAAAGATAACTATTTTGAGAGCATTTTGACACACCCGTAAATTTAGAGAGTTCGGACCAATAGTATTTGGTGTATAATATTAGTGAATATAAATTTGGATTTGTTTTGATAAAATAAGAAAATTATGAGATTTTATATTATAATTTGGCTTAATTGGTGTTTTTGTTTTTTTAATTGGATTGAAATTGCTAGTGAAATAACTTCTACTCCTTAATAATGCTTTTAGTTTTGAATAATATGTGAATATATGTATAATTATATGTATATATACATGTATTGTTATTGATGAGTTTCATATATATATATATATATATATATATCATAATTTATTAAATTTCACTCCAAGAGAGAAATTGTTTAATCTACTTTCTAAAATTTCATTATTTTGAGATCCTCTCACTTGCTCTGTGCGGTTAAAGCTTTTTGCTTAATCCACTTCAAATATGCAAGTTGGACGGATCACCACTTCCATGCCGTTTCCCTTCTTGGCAAATTAATTAATTTCAAATTCTCATTATATTTTGTGACTTTTTATAATTTTTTGTAAATTTTGGAACTACACGATGAGAATATTTGTGTTTTTTTACATATTGTAGAAACTGGTATGTTAAGTTTCAAATTATTTTGAATAAATGATAAAACAAAAATAAAAACTTATTTTATGAATTGTAACAAACTAAAATCCTCCAATATTAATATTTGAAATTCGTAATCTTACTAATGAGAATTAAACATTGTGTATGTGTTACCTTGTCAATAAAAGTTTTAACATAATTCCATCAATGTGAGGTCAAACATTAAATATTATAAACCTACTAATGAGAATTAAACATTAACATGTTACTTGATAGAAACTAATTCTAATATCAATATCCTTGATTTATATTGAAAACAAAACTTTCTTACGTGTACTATAGATTGTGAATATATAAATATACATGTTTTGAAACAAATTTTAAGGAGATTTCATAAGAAAATTGTGAATTAAAATTCAAGAAAATTAATTTTGAGTATCCATATTTGTAATAATATATGTATTATTTTTCTTTGCATGCAACAACCAAGTAAATATTAATTACTTATAAATAATTAATATTTATTTCAAAAACAAAACAAAAAAAAAAAATCTGAACAAGAGGTTTATGCACGAGAAATAATCGTTAGACTTGTAATTTTGGTGAGATTTTTTCATGAGTATGCATGTTGTACTACACCTAAATCTCTTATTTAGGATCTTACAATTTATGAGCATTGTAAAAGAGCGACTTCTACCCGTAAAAACTGTCAATTATTGAAATGACTTCCCTGACTATTCTCACAGCCGATACTCTAACACCTTGCTAACCAACCCAACTAGGGAATGACTCCTCCCTGCGATTTTATTATTTCCACTCCTTATTATTCTTCTGAAAATGCAACAGACACATTATTCTTGTCATGTTATTTGGTACTAATCAATTTAATTAGAATTAGAGTAAACACTTTGATAACGATAATATACTCCTACCTGTGCCCTTAAAAAGCAAATTACATGGATCTTGGCTTACAGAACTTTTGTCCGGAGCACTAAAGAGAACCGTCAATTATGCTAAATTATGGATACCCATGCTCATTGGCATTTTACAGTATAGATGTTATGAGGAAGATAAGTAACAATGAGACCAAAAAGTGACAGAGAAGAAAAACTGAAGTCATATACAATTAATTCAATTATCAGTCACTTCTATGTAGAACAAAAAATTTTAAGTCAATCACTTAAGAGTTTGTTATTGAAGATTGAAAACTTGTCCTAACTATGTTAAGGGCCAAAATTTCCACCTTAGCAGATGCCTATAGAAGTCAAAAAGCCAACTTCCCCTTGGAAAACCTGTTCTCAGTGCAAATGTTTGTTGAAACCTTATTCGCAACTTATCTATGGATTCATTCATCAAAACCTACGATGCATCCAAGACAACTTATCAGAAGGATGATTTCTTTCACTTCAATAACCAAGTTCCAAAACTGCAACTCAATTGAACAATTTGTAGAAGTCTGGTAGTGCCAAGAAAAGAAGGAATGGACAGATCATAAGGTTTAACACAGGTACCTGTAAAAACTATTCTCTCCGCTTCCATCGAAAATGTTCATGCCCGGAATACCGAGTCAAATGGAGAGCATCTGCAAATTTTTACTAGGTGTTAATTTATCACCTTCAGGAAAAGGAAATCTTCTGCACATTTATACTCATCGTATAGGCAGAATATCATGAGAAAATTCTGGGTACACTTTATTGGTGTACTTAAAATGTCTAATGATAACTCTTGAAAAATAAACAGCAAAATTCATTGGCTTTGATATAAAAAACCAACCTGCAATTTTTCGAAGCTTGCCTGAATAGAAAAGCTGATGATGCAATAGAAGTTGGCTAAAGTTTATTTATGCTGGAAATGATCCTTGACGCTGATGTTCCTTTTGAGTATGATAGAATCAAAATTGTATCTTCTGGTTCTAAATAGTTCACCACATAGGATCAGTAAAAATAGAAACTGAGAATTACACAGCTTTAGCTGTGCAATCCCCACTTGAAGGAAAGCTAGCAGATTTTGGAGCTTCATTGTCTCTGACAACTCTGTTATATATAACTTGAAAGACTGTGAGCCAT